GAGATTAAATTAATCACGTCAAGAGATGGAAGTTTGGTAGCTCACATGGGTTGGCCTTTTTCATACACCCTTCGCGCGTGGTCAGGAAGTTCTCAACCTTTTTGGGGTATAATGTCATAGTATTGATCTGCCTCTGTTTCCCTCTCTTGTGGTTAAGTGTAGTGTCACTATTGTTGCTGTTCCTCATTTTTTGCTCTGCCGATTTGCCGCCGCCTGCTCTTCTCCGAAGTTGCTGTTGTTCCTCCACTCCTGCCGCTGCTGCACCACCCTCATCTTCGGCCGTTGCTGTTGTTTCAGTTGTTCTCTTCCCGGCGGTTCTCCCCTCTAATCAAGTGTATTGTTGTCTCGGTTGGAGTTCCGTTGCTGTTGTTGTTCTCCGTTGCTTATGTTGTTTGCTGCTACTGCAGAAGCTTCTCTTCTCGCACCTCCGCTGACGCCACTACTGCATGCCTGCTTGTTCTGCTTGCTGCATGTCTGCTGCCTGCCGCTGCTACACCCAATTCCTTCTGACCAGATTTTGACCGGAGATTTCCTTTCCTTCTTTCAAAAAAAAAATTTGATATTCTTCATTTACCTTTCACATTGCTGCTATGGCAAATTCGGCCGCCTCCGGTGTCACAGGAACTCCATCTTCTGATCACCTTCAAACCACCCCCAACACCGCAACCCTGCCGCCCTCTTCTTCTCCTCATCTGGCCATTGGCCTTTCAAATATTAAGAACTACAGCACCCCTGTTCTTGACTTCACCAACTACATGCTTTGAAAGGAACTCTTTCTTCCTGTTTTCCGCGGCCATGCCGTTATGGGTCACATTGACGGTTCAAATCCTTGTCCACCGGCGACTCTCGATGCCTCTGATGGTTCTTCCACTCCCAATCTGGCTTTTCAATCTTGGACCCAAATTGACTCTATTGTGCTCTCGTGGATTCAAAACACTGTTTCTACTGAGATCTTGCAGGCTATCGTTAAGCCCAATTCCACCCTCACAGCCCGAGATGCTTGGCTTACAATCGAGAAGCTGTTTCATGACCAACTTGGCTCTCGGCTTCTCCATCTAAAGCTGCAATTCCACAACTTGAAGAAGGGTGATTCCACAATCAATGATTATGTCACTCAATTGAAGATGTTGGTTGACTCTTTGACCGCTGTCGGTTGTTCCATCTCTGACTCTGATTTGGTTTTGCAAATTCTCGCCGGTCTTCCTGCTGATTATCAATCCGTCTCCACCACCATCAGCCACAAAGTCCCTCTTCCTACCTTCGTTGAGGCTCGTTCGATGCTGTTCTTGCATGAGGGTGCAGCTTCAGAACGTGGCCCCTCCTTCTTCTCCCGTGGCAACCACAGCCTTGGTGGTGGCTGCTTCACCTGGTTCTTCTTAGCAGCCGGCGTCCGCTTCTCCTTCTCCTGTTTCATCCAGTAGTGGCCGTGGAAGGGGTCGCGGCTTCCAAAATTCAAGAGGCCGAGGCCGCGGTCGTGGTCGCAATCAATATTTTGGTCAGTCCTCTTCTCCGTTTTATCACTCTTATTCTTCTTATCCGCCTCCCATGTTTACTCCCAGGCAGCGCACTCCCTCTCTTCTTGGACTGCCTCCTTCTTCCTTGTCCAATTCGGGTCCTGTTCGATGTCAATTGTGCCACCAATTTAATCATTCTGCCCGTGATTGCTATCAATTCCAACAGCCCGCTTATTTTGTTGATCAACATAATCGGCTTTCTGTCCCTCCGTCTGTTGATTCTTCTTGGTATATGGACACGGCTTGTGGTAATACTATGACTCCCAATCAAGGTACTCTTACTAATTCCAAACCCTATCTTGGTTCTACTCGAGTTGTGATTGGTAATGGTTCAAATTTACCTATTAAATCTGTTGGTACACTTCCTTGTTCTCAATTTCGCTTTCCTAGGGTTTATTATGTACCTTCACTTACCAAAAATCTTGTTTCTGTGCGTCAATTTACAACTGAAAATCAATGTTCTATTGAGTTTGATCCCTTTGGTTTTTCTGTGAAGGATCTTTGGACGAGGAACCCTCGTCTACGTTTCAATAGTGTTGGTTCCCTTTACACTTTTCCATCCACCCTTTTGGATCAATCTCGTGCACCGTCTTCTTCATCATGTCCGGTGTTCGCTGCTTCCGTCTCTTCTCGTGTCTGGCATCAACACCTTGGTCACCCCAATTCTTCTGTTTTATCTAGATTAGTGTCACATCGCCGCCTTCCTGGTTCGGTGGTTTCCTCAAATAAGTTTAGTCTTTGTCAGGCTTGTCAAATTGGGAAGCATCATAAGCTCCCTTTTATGCCTTCTACTTCAGTTACTTTCAAACCTTTTGATTTAATCCATACCAATGTTTGGTCTTCTCCCTGTCTTTCATTTAGTGGTTTCAAGTATTTTGTCCTTTTTCTTGATGATTTTACTCATTATTTATGGGTGTATCCACTTAAACATAAATCTGACGTACCCCACAAATTTATTAACTTCTATACTCTTGTCCAAAGTCAATTCAATACTTCTATAAAAAAACTCTTCAATCTGATGGTGCTGCTGAATATATTCACTCTCACTTTCTTCAATCCTTTCTCAAATCTAAGGGAATTGCCATGCGCATTTCTTGTCCATACACTCTTCAACAAAACGGCAAAGCTGAGTGCATGAATAAGACTGTTCTCAATTTGGTCCGCACCCTCCTCAATCACGCTCACTTGCCACCTGGATTCTGGGTAGAGGCCTTACATACTAGTGTTTATCTGATAAACCGTTTACCTACCAAATCCAAGAACAATTTTGTTCCCTTCTCCCTTCTTTTTGGCACTCTACCTAATTATGGTGTCTTGCGGGTCTTTGGATGTTCTTGCTTTCCTAATCTATCTCATTTAGCTTCTCACAAGCTCCAACCTTGGTCCACTCCATGTATCTTCGTCAGTTATCCTGAGTCTTACAAAGGTTACCGCTTTTTTGATCCTACTTCCAAGAAAATTTACACTTCCCGTCATGTTGTTTTTTATGAAACGTCATTCCCGTTTCCTCAACTATCTTCAGTTCCACCACTCTCTACTCCCAACTCCCGTTTAAACATCCTTCGTTTCTCATTCCATGGTCCATTCCCACTTCCGTGATACCTTCACCTCCTCAACAAAAAGTGTCAACTGTTCCTTCTGCACATTCAGACCCTATACTTTCTACTTCCTTGTCAACTAATTCGGGTCCTCTTTCTTCAAACCCTCCCACTCATCATATGGTCACCCGCACTCGGGATAGCACCCGTAAACCTAAACAGATCCCCTCTTTTACTACTACTACAACATCTCCACTTTCCCGTGAACCAAAATCTTTCACTGAGGCCAATAAATCCCCTGAATGGCGAGCTGCCATGAGTGATGAATATAATGCTCTCCTCACTAACCATACATGGGATTTGGTCCCTCCTCCTATTTCTGCTAACATTATTGGCTCAAAATGGATTTTTCGAGTTAAGCTCAAATTCGATGGTTCACTTGATCGATGTAAAGCACGTTCAGTCGCTCAAGGTTACAATCAAAAGCCTGGTATTGATTATGATCAAACGTTTAGTCCGGTGGTTAAACCAGTGACAATTCAGACTGTATTAAGCATTGTTGCTTCTCACAAATAGCCCGTCCATTAGTTGGATGTTAAAAATGCATTTTTGCATGGCCATCTCAATGAAATTGTCTACATGAAACAGGCTACTGGCTTTGTTCATCCAGATCATCCTCACTATGTCTGTCAATTGAACAAAGCTCTTTATGGCTTAAAGCAGGCTCTCGAGCTTGGTTTCACAGATTCACTTCCTATCTGTTTTCTCAGGGTTTTACAGGCAGTTGCTCAGACTCTTCTATGTTTGTGTATTCTGCTGGTTCAGACATAGCGATTTTGTTACTTTATGTTGATGACATTTTCTTGATAGCATCTAGTAATCGTTTGCTCACTACTATTATTCAGTCGCTGAAGGGTGCTTTTGCCATGACTGATCTTGGTCCAATAAGCTATTTTCTCTGTGTTTCTGTTGCTCCACACTCTGGTGGTTGGTTTTTACACCAACGTAAGTATGCTGAGGAATTGTAGGCTCGTAGTCATCTCACTGATGCCAATCCTGTTGCAACTCCCCTTGTTCCCGTTTTTCAGTTTTCTGTTGATGAGTCTCCACCTTTTCACAATCCAACTCTCTATCGGAGCTTGGTGGGTGCCTTACAGTATCTTACCTTCACCAGACCGGACCTTCAGTATGTAGTCAACCTTGTCTGTCAGCATATGCATGATCACCGGGAACAACATTTTCAAACTGTCAAGCGTATTCTACAATATATTAAAGGCACACTTCATTATGGCATTCATCTCCGTGCTGGTCCTCTTGATCGCCTGGTTACTTATTCTGATGCTGATTGGGCCGAGTGTCCCACTACTCGCCGTTCTACCACTGGTTTTTGTGTCTTCTTAGGCTCCTCTCTCATTTCCTGGTCTTCCAAGAAACAATCTACAGTTTTCAGATCTTTTGCTGAGTCTGAATATCGTGCGGTTGCTTCTGCTTTGGCTGAAACGGTTTGGTTAGAGAATCTTCTGTCAGAACTTCATATCAAGCTTCCTCAGCGCTCAGTGATCTTGTGTGACAATATCTCTGCTACATACCTAGCTGCCAATCCTATTAATCATGCTCGAACCAAACATATTGGTCTAGACATTCATTTTGTTCGTGAACGTGTCGCTACTGGTCTTCTTCGAGTTCTTCATATCTCCACCCAGTCTCAACTAGCAGATGTATTCACCAAATCCTTACCTAAGGATAAATTTTATTCATTTAGAACCAATCTGTGCATGATTTTCTCTCCTGCTCCGATTGCGGGGGGATGATAGAATATATAAATACAGAAACCCTAATTAGGGTTTTCGATAATCACTGCTAGGGTTATTGTAATATTGTACTATATATATGATGTTGTACACATGTAATAAGACACGAAAAAATATTCTTTCAGAAATCCCGCTTCATGCAGCAAACTGAGCCAACTATTTGGGAAATTTGCAGCTTTGTCTGGTCAGCTGCAGGTAAGCAGTCTGATCTGGAATACCGCGTTGGTGTTCGTGGGTATGGCTACCCAGCTATGGTAGCTCTCAACTTGAAGAAGGGCGTTTATACTCCTCTAAAGAGTGCATTTCAGCGTGATGAGATCATGTAAGTATATTTCTTTCGGTTCTTTTCCAGTTGTACTGCAGGTTTTGAGGAGATATAACTCTGCTTATTTTCCGTCTTCAGAGAATTTGTAAATGAAGCTGGACTTGGCGGAAAGAACAACCTAGCTTTTGAGGGCACTCCTTCCATCATGCTTACAGAACCATGGGATGGCAAAGATGGGCAAATCCTTGAAGAATATGAGCTTTCGCTGGAAGAGTTAGTGGGGAATGATGACACTTCTAACAAGGATGAGTTGTAATTGTTGTTAAAAAGTCAATTACCAATCTCAAGAGGTAACACAACAATTTTGACATAATTTTTGTCGGGAGCATCTCCATCTTTTGTCATTACAACAACAGGATGTTGACTGTATTTGCTCCCAAGTGTATGCACTTACTTTGATCCTTGAATCTTCTACTACTAGTCCAAAGGGAAAAATGTTTAGTTGATGGAAGCCCACGTAAGAAGAAACGATTGATTTTTGTACATGTTTAAGTTTGTGAATGATATACTCTATTCGGTCTTTAATAAAATGCATTTTGATTTGTGTTAGATTTTACATAGTACGCATTTTAAATGACAAAAATAAACCTTAAAATATATATTCTAACAATCAATAGAACACAACGAATGTGAAAGTATATTTTTAAAATTTTTTTATAAATTAAAAATTCATACGATGTGAAACATAAGACAAATCAAAATGTGGCTTAATCGAAGCATATGTCAGGTTCATTTGAGAGTTATATTATTCGTCCAAAAACCTTCAGTTTTTATTAAATGGAGTAAAATAAAAACCTTTTGGTTATAAAAATCTTGCGAGAGGCCGAGCTAGTGTAATAATTTCCTATTTTTAGCTTTTACCGCCGAAAAAAAAGCCTGACAACTTGGATTTTTCAGAAAGTCCTTCTTGTGATCCGATTCCTGGTGTAGGTCTTGTGATGCAATTCCTAGTGGGTACAATTCTCATAACTCTCGGAAGTAAAATTTTTTTGGAAACAGAGGGAGTATATATAGCCTCATACACCAATTTTTGCATCAACCTTTTTGAATCATCAAATATATAATTATTACATGGATTTTCAGATGGCTATGCGTCCTCGTTTCTCATCGGAATCTAGCGACTTGCAGCAGATGGCCAAGCGTCGATGCTGCCGGGCTTTGGAATCTGGGGTTGTTGTCGACTGGACAAAACTGCTTCCAGAGATATTAAACCTGATTCTGGACAAGTTACTGAATCATCTGGATTATATCAGATTCGGGGCCGTCTGCAAATCATGGCGTGGAGTCGCAATCCATCAAAAGCATAGGCGAACGTCGCCGGTGTACTTTCTTATTCGTCCTTCCAATGAGGCTGAACTGGATGAATACCTCCAAACAGGGTACTTCAAACTAAGTCGCGGTTACCTATTGCTCAACGCGGGAGAAGGCAAATACTACGAATTCAACCATCGAAAACTTCTCCCTGATGACACTGATGATGATGCACAGTTCGAATTTTATGGTTCATCGTACGGATGGATGGCCTTGCGAAGGAGGGGTGATGATTCCATCACACTCTGCAGTCCTTTCAATCGAACCAAGAGTGTGAAGCTTCCGAAGATCCCGGAGGAGTTTGGCAAATTTTTCAAGATCTTCATGTCTTGTGATCCTTGTACCTGTCCGGAAGAAGGCGATAATAATCTTGTCCTGGCCGCAATAGGTATGCGACGGCGAGTTGCATTGATCAGAGCCGGGGACAAATCGTGGACTCTGGCTGATACTGTCATGGAAGGAGATGAACGACCTTTCCCATTCGTAGACTTGATATTCCACAGGGGTTTTCTGTATGCCGTGGATTGCTTTCACCGGCTTGTTGCCATTGACTACAATAGGGGCTGGAGGACACAATCGGGCCTTTTCCCGACGGTCGTCATTCTGTCCAAGAAGAGGCCACTTCTACAGCTGAGTGATCTACCTCGGACTTTGCTGGCAGAGTCAGCGAGTGGAGAGCTTTTCATGATCCTTCAAGCAAGGGAGGATTGTGGTCAATTCATGGTGGGCTCTGAGCCTTATTATTACAAGAAGCTTGAAAAGAAACACAAAGGAATAACATCATCAGCTTCTCCTTCTGGGCAGAAAGAAGTGGAAGAGGAGGAGGAGGAGATGGAATGGGTGAAAGTGCGTAAGTTGGATACTAATAAGGACGGCAGATTTCTGGTTTTTGAGACTATTTGCTTATGTTTTCAGGACCCTAATCCTGATTGGTCTGATTGCCCACCAAAAAATCTTGACGCCAAACCTTCTGAAGATTCCGGCGCCGGGCGAGAGCCTATAGGGCCTATTGGAATAGCTCTGCTAGCCGCCCCACCATTATACTGACACCCTCAGAGCGAAAATTTATTATTGTAACAAAAAACGGTTCGATATAGCATAAAACTATGCTGACACGCTGTGGGGATCAGAACTGGCGAGCAGAGGTGAATTGACCGTCGAATGAGAGCTACGGTCCTGGACGAAGTGAGAGTGGTGAGGCGGCGGTGGGCGATGCGGGGAAAGTAGAAGGGTTTGGGATTTTTTTGTCTCATTTTTTTTCATCACGTATTTCTTACCGATGTTATTGGTTGGATGATGCCTGCAACACTGAATTTTTTTATTTTTATTTTTTATTTTTGTTTGTATTTGAAAGCTTTATATCTTTGGAGAGTTTGTCTATTAAATTTGGATGCCAATGCTTTGTTAATTAACTCATTCAGTGATTAGTGCACATACGTGCCTCCTCAATATACTATTGGCTTTCGTGACTTGAAATCATTAACTTGCGCATTGAGACTTATATAACTTATTGATTTTGATTATGAAATGCGGGTTAGATTAATCTATTAAATCTTGAATATTAATATTAATTTTGTTTTAATCAAATTCTGTTTTCTTTCCATGTTGAAGTACGGAACCTGGCTAAAATCGGTTCATCTTCTTCTTCTTTTTTTTTTTTTTTTTTTTAGTTTTAGTGTGCAGGAAATCATAAACAAAGGTGCGTCTGTCTATTTGCCTAATAAATAAATAACACATAAATAAGTGAATCCTTTTCTTTTTCTCCTTTTAATGAACTCCTTTCGATTTCACTGTCCCTTTCCTCTATTGCTATACTTTGATTGAAAGGCACCTATTCATTTTTTATTCATTTGGATTCATGTTTTGTACAGTATCTAATTAATTAGTATTCAGAGTAAAGGAAATAAAATGGGAAAATATTGACTTTCGATGGGGACAAAGCAAGGAGCTGGGCATTTTCTGGAAACCATGCAACCTCCAAATTTGGCTTTCGCACCCATATGAGAGTATGGCCTTTGTGTGTGTGTGTGTGTGTTTTTTGTCTCAAAAGTTGGGTTGGTCTTTGATAGAGGTTGTTTTATTAAAATTAACAATAACAGGAGGGATGGCATTATTAACTAATTTAATTAATTCACGTCAATCTTTCGTGTTTGTGTGAACGACTTTTAATTTTCTAATGCATTCAACAGCCATGCTTTGATGTTGAGCCAGACATATTTATTCTTTAATTAGTGATTCATTCATTGGTATTATTTTGCAAATCTTTGAAGAGTTTATTTTTCTGCTGATTGAACGAATCATGTTGGATGAAACAAATGGGAGGTAACAAAATAAAAAATGTATTTGGAATTTTTTTTTATGGTTTTACCAAATTTAAAAGATCTTTTAATTTTTTTTACACCCGTATTTTATTTGAAACTCAATAACTTAGCGATACATCTTTTAAGGCAGGGATTTTTTTGGGGGAAATTTCCATTGAAAAATTAGGCTAGTTTGTAGGAGGAGAGAAGCCTTGGAGAAGGCAAAGTATTGATATAGTAGATGTAGGTGGAGGGGGTGCTGCCATTTATTTGTGCTACAAATTTACTCCACGGGCATATTCGACTTTTGGTTATTACTCTATTCGATTTCTATTTTTTGTCAATATTCTTTTGATAATTGACGATTTAATTGGAATTTTTTTTTCGCATGTGGAAATTAGAACGTTCGAATAAACAGTTTTATCAGTTCAGTTGTTTGAATCGTTCCATATATCTTGAGCATAGGTGACGCTTTCACAACGGTTAATCTGTTAGCGTGTATCATACATGTGGAATGATGCAACTAATGTATCACTTGAATTTATTTCCCTGGTTTAGTAATAACAAGAATACTACCAAATTCATGACTGAAACCATTAACTACACCATGTATACTCAAGGTTACAGTTAATTTGTATTTCTAAATCACTGTCGACCTCTCGATGGCATTAATTACATTGATTAAACCACAAAATATTGTCTAGTAGGTGAAAACCGAAAAGTACTTCTTAGTGATCCGAGTATATAATGTATACAAGAAATAAAAGCATTTACTAATATTGATGAAATTGTTGTGAGCCAAGAACATACCCCCTTTCTAGGGACAAATTCAAAGTGAAATAAAAGTGAACAAATTTCCTAGGAATACAAATCGTAATAGTCCCTAGAAACTTGTTCCTAATATTATCATCAAAGCACAAGGAATTATGCCAGTGTAGGCAAATTTAATAGCGACAATTAAATAAGTGCGATTCACTAAGCCCAAAGGAGCATTATATTTGTCAATTAGATATGAGGATCTTCCATAGACTTGTACAACATGGCTTTAAACTCTTGCATTACTTTCTCAGCTTCCTCCAAGACACGTTTCAAAATCGCCTCCTATATTAGATGCATTAGATTACTGAGCAACAGGATCTTGTGCACATAAAAATATTACAATCACATTGAGTTAGAATGTTTGATTAATGTTATGAAAATATAGAACATGCCAAGAACTAACACGAATATATGTTCAAAACATGCAACCAACTGAAATTTAGAAGAATCAACTCGCAAAACCGATCGAAAAACATACTAATGGCTCTAGGATACACAGATAAACAAGAAAAGGACTTGAATACAGTTTTAGTTATACAGGAAATAGAAAAAGAAAACAAAACAAAACAGAGTACCTACCCGAGTGATTACGAGTCCATAAACGGGTGTGGTGGTCCTTCTAGTTGGAGCGGTGATTTAACGTCTCCTTTGATGTCTGTGATGAGGAACTGCACATGTGCTCTTTGCATTAGCCTTGTAGCAAGTACTAGGAAAAACCAATTTTTTCCCTTACATTGGCCACACAAATATTCGTCTGTTGTCTGATTACTTTAGCTACGTCGATTGGGATGTTGAGAACTAAGGTGAACAGCAACAGTGCCATTTCGTAAGGTACCTTATCGCGATGTCTCAGAGGCATGATGTTGCTGCATATCATATGGTACAATGGCTTGTATTCTGGCCTTAGATCGGTTACTGGCAAATGTTTAAGGATGCCATGGCGTGTGGTCCAAATCACATCTGCAGACTTAGAGCATAGTGCATCAGGTAATTCTTCTTCCGGAGTTGCATCCATAGCATTGTATGCCCCATCTGCATAATTTAAATAGACTTGTGGGAGTGGCAGAATGTCTCTGATGGCTTCTGTACTAATGTCGACAACACGACCCCTGAATGTAATTCCATCTCCTGGCACCCCCCTCATGTTGCTGTAGAATTCTCGCAAAGCGCTAAGATTGGATCTGGTTGTAATGGTGAATAACCCTTCCCAGTGATGTATTGCTATATAGGAGTTTGGATCTGGGTGACCTATCATGCCTCTTTCTACAATTGCCCGTCTTTCCAAATTTCGCCGAAAGAATTCCGCTGCTTCGTGATTAGAGACAACCCTGAACTTTCTATATTTCGGATCATGTTCCGGTGGTTTTCTCGCTCTTCTCTGGTCGGTTGTTGTTGGAGGTATGGCGGAACTAATGCCTTCCCCTCTAACAACACAACACTTCTTCTTGGTTGTAGTCTGGTTCTGACAATATTGATCTAGGCTATGGTTTTCAAAAGTATTCTAATAGTTGCTGGTTGTTCTGTTTTGTTAGTAGGGGAGACAGTTTTGGGAAGATAAAGTGGTAATGTAAATGCCAGATGAATTTTTAGTTTATGGGGACATGGGGTGCAGTTTTCTAAAAGAAAAGACGTTCTGTTCCCCTACGTCATTTATTCCTGACTCTCTAGCCTACTAACCACATCAAAGGTTTTAAAATCAAGTGTGCACCTTTTTCAAGAGTATTTTGACTGTGGTTTTGTTCTTAGCAAAAGTTGGCACTTACTAAAGGGGTAAATGTCACGCGCCGATGTAAGTGAAGTTGTATGATTTATAATGAATGAATATGTTCCTTTTTCCATTCCATTATTTTATTCTTTTTTGAAGTACTCGTCGAATATGCTGTGTCTATTAACATAAGCAATAACATACAAAATTTGATATAATCTTGAATATCGTGTTGAAATTATATGCGAAAATAGTTCAGCGATTAAAGATATCATGAAAATAATTTAACATTATCATAAGATCCGTGCATAAATATAGAAATTTGTTGTGATGAATATTGGATAGGCACTATAACCTTAAACTGGTGAGCAGGAAATGAATGTGATCAGTTTGTACTAGAAAAAAAGGTAAGAAGGAAAAACAAGTGAAAAGTTCTAAAAAAGCGTTAATGTTTCCCAGAAGTAACATGCCCTAATGATATAATTGTTTTGTAGATCTGGCGGTGTAGTGGAATGCGTGATTACCTTGCTGGGAACACTGTACAGAAGCAAATGTCGATTATCATATCCTTTGACAATAAATTATCCTGCTGGAGATTATTTATGACTTAAAAACATCGGATATAGCCAATCATGATGGAATATTGCACCTTTGAGTGGAATGTTGGTGTTGAGTTGGGGAAAATCACGCATCTCAAATCTGCAATCCCATGTCGAGGTATCCAGATCCCATGCCCATAATTGAAAATGACGACGACGAGTAATGTAGTACTCATCTGTTACACACATGGTCCCATTAAAGTCCAATATTTTTACTTGGACATTTAAATTATAAATAGGACTAGGGTTATAAAACATTGGAGATGGAGGGCAGCTAATGGATTGGAATTGTCCAATGTGTGTGTCGAACACGACCAGTAACTTTTCGGTTGTTACTGTTACATAGCACATGCTGTCTATAGGCCAATACACCAATGTATCAAACTAGGTCCCATCTGATACAGGACGAGAACATATACTGGAAAGTTCTTTCCATGACCCTGCGTGAATACGTGAACAACTCCAAAAGGAAAAAATCCAACCACACATATATTCTCCATTAGGTATAAGAGCCATGAAAATATAGGTTTTTGATAATGATACATGCCCAAATACTGTCTTGCAATTTTTAAGCGGGACAAGAAGTAGGCATTCCACTGTTGCAAGTTGTCTTGTCTTTGGCTTACAATTCTTTATTTGAGAATTAGTTAGTAGGGAAACTAAATCTGTGGTGACAGGCATGATTTGATGGATGGAGTCGTTGGCCAGTGACATATCTCCTTGGAACGGTATGTGGCTCCATGGATAATTCATCTGAACTTTTATGTTGGTGATGATTAATCTGTCTTGCAACTCGTGACCTTGTCGTCTTGTTTGAGTGAATAGAAGGATGTTGTTCCCCCTTGCAAGGTAATACATTTCCTGCTTTTGAAGAATAAATTCCTGTTTCTTCATTATTGCTTCCCAAGCTTTGCTTACTTGGCGGAATTGGCCGATGCTTTCCAATTCCAGTTTGATAAACATGCTCC